TGTAAATCTTTACAGGAGCAGAAAGCCTCATCTTCCTCCCACAGAGAGTCTGGTGAGTTCGAACTGCTGACCTTGCTCTTAGCAGCCCAACTGTAATCTAGTACAGTACCAGGGCTCCTTCAGTAACAAGGCAGAGATGCTCTAAATTGGAATATTTGGGTTTTAAATGTACACTAGTTTATTCGCATCTCAAAGTTTAAAATCTAACGTTTTAGTTTAGTTTTAATTCAGCGTACAAATCTTATTTTGTTTATACATCCTGTGGAATTTTATGTAAAATAAAAACCACCACTTTAGTGGAGACTTTTATTTAATATTTACTTAGCCTTAATAGAATAGACGCTCTTCCACTTAACTGGCTGTCTCATTTTTAGCTGCATTTATAAATTTAATGTATTCATTGCCCTTTTAAGCACTTCAAATAGCTAAAACCTGACAAACTTACATTCAAGTAAAACCGTTTTCTGTTCTTTAAAAACCTCTTATAAATTGAACTACATTGTTGTTAAGTGCTGTTAGTGACCCTGTAAAGGGTTTCTGAGGAGCAGCTGGTGGGTTTGAACTGCTGACCTTGTAGTATAGAAGTCTAGTGCTTAGCCTATAGCACCACACCAGGAGTCCATTAAACTATATGGTGGTGGTAGTGGTATGCCATGGATTCGATTCCAATTTATAGCAACCTTAATAGGGTTTCCAAGGCTGTAAACTTTTACAGGAGCAGAGAGCCTCATCTTTCTCCTACTGAGCAACTGGTGAATTTGAACTGCTAACCTAGTGGTTAACATCCCAACATGTAACCCAGGGCTCCTGTATTGTGACTCTAAATATCACACTATTCTTTTAACAATGTAGCTAAACCATTTTACACCTTAAACATAACAAATGTAAAATCAGTTAAATGTTTTTTTTAGTTGTCTTTTTTTTTTTTTTAGCACTAACACATTTATTTACTAATCAAAGGGATGATCCTAATTAAACCAACACTTTGAAACAATGGTGTGTAAATGAGTGTGAGAGAAATAATTGAACACAGTAATGAAAAAGCAAAAAACAAAGCGGTGTGGAGATTTGCTCATTGAACAAGCTTGTTCGTTCTCACAACTAAATCCTATTCAAAGTAAAGATGGAAGTTTTATTCTACTTTTTCATAGGTCTGAGTCCAGGTGACATTGTTCATAACACAGTCTACATTTAATTTCCCATTTTCCAATTTTTGTGTTATTGTGCTTTCCTTCCCATCCCACTCCTTTTGTTGAACCAAAAGCACCATCTGTAAAGTTGCAATCTGAGTTTTTCTGCCATCAGCTGTAGTTTCTTCAAACTTTTCACCCAGGTTACAAGAAAATGGTGTTGTTTTCAGTTTTGATGGTGAGGGTTTTGCCATCAGTAGTGATGATACAATCAGGTTTGGCCATTGCACCCATTTTTCGCAGAGCCATGCCCATTCCTACTTCCTTCATGTACTCATCAAAGCCTTTGCTGTCTACCAGACGCCATCTTCCTATCAGATGCTGAATGGTAGCCGTGGTGGGCGAGGACAGGCGGATGTGCTGAGTGATCAGAGAGGGTGTCCAGTTAAATGTTTTAAGGTAGAATCCATAGATTCTACCTCAGATTTTTAGAAGTCCAGATTTTCTCTTAAGTCCCTTGACAAAATATTATTCCTAAACTTACTATTTGTGTTTTGATAGTATAGATTGGATTTACATGATCAGCTTGCTATTTCATTTTGAAGACTCTCAGTGTTGGGAAATGAACTCCTGGTATGGCACTGTAGGATCAGCACTGGACTGTGAACCACAATGTCAGCAGTTCAAACCCACCAGCCTCCCCTTGGAAACCCTACACAGGGTCGCTATGAGTCAGAACTGACCTGACGGCACTTAACAACAACAGTGTTGGGAAAATTCACTAAGTTAAAGTTTACCACTCTATATTGACCATCTTAGAGGGTCTAAGTAATTATTGACCAGAAATTTCATCAGAACCCGATGTCTGGGATCAGGATATGTCCAGGATTGTTGCCTCTGAGCAAATGAACATGTATTTTCCACAGCTGTTACACAAAAGTTTCCAAGTCCCTTTCTGATCAGGAGTACTTTGCCGTGTATCTCTTTGGTGGTTACAGAATTATTCATTTAGGTAATCAACGTATATAACCCATTTTTTGAGTGCAGCTGTCTTCAGTTAACTTTCTTTACTACCTTCTTAAGGAGGTTTGGTGGTGCAGTGGTTAAGCACTGACCTGCTAAGAAATAGGTCGGTGTTTTAAGCCACCACTCTGCAGAAGAAAGATGTAGCATTCTGCTTCTGTGAAAATTACAGCCTTGGAAACTGGAATCTATTCAAAGGCAATGAGTTTGGTTTGGGGTTTGGACTTCTTTCTTGGACTGTACATTCTTTTCAACTTTTTTTTAAAATCATTTCTCAGCAGCATTTTATTTTATACTCCTTTTACATACTTATCTGGTATGAGGCCTGAGAATATGTATTTTTGAAAGATCCATTCTATGGTTACTGAATCAGAATTATCATAAGAGAAATGTGGGATACTATATATGTTTTTAACACTATCCATAAGAGTCCTGATGTAGCACTGTAGGATAAGCATTGGACTGCTAACCAGAAGATCAGCAGTTCAAACCCTCCAGCCACTCCTCAAAAAAAAACCCTATGAAGGGTCTGTTGTTGTTGTTCCAGCAATTTAGATTCTGAATACTTTACACATCTTGTACTCAAAGTTAAAGAGAAACCATAACTATGGACTATTTCTCTGGGCAATTTAAATTTTAGGTGTTCACACTCCAAGATAAATTGGTCAAGATGTATGCAAATGAAGTAATTGTTATATAAAGTTGTTAACTTTAAGCCATTTAAATGCCAGGAGACAGCTACTCACCCCACAAAAATAAATTATAGAGACCTAATTTGAAGCAATGATTTCTACTAGTCACCAATAATAAAGTTATTTGTAATTATAACAGTGACTTGTAATTCTGTTTTACCCTAAAATGATAGGAAGCCTTTAGTACAGTCTAAAACCAAAACTAAAAAGGAAGTATAGAATGCATATCTATTTTGAACCTCTGGGAATTATTTTAGATCCATCAAAGAGTTCTTTTCTATTAGCTTCTACTTTCAGGGGAATCTGTGTTAAAGATCTATATTGAGTTTATGTAGCTTAGTCATAAGTTTCCCTCAGATTCAAAAAAGTTAACGAAGAAGAAGAAAGGGAGGGGCAAAAGGGAGGAATTAAGAAAGTATTTCATATTAGTTCTAACAGAGTTCTCCACAAAGTGAAACAGACTGTGTTGTTGTTAAGTGACTTCCAGTCGGTTCTGACTCACAGTGACCCTGTACAGGGTTTCCAAGAAGGGTTTGAACTGCCAATCTTGTGGTTAGCAGTCCCGTGCTTATCCTACAGCACCACACCAGGACTCTGAAACAGACTGTAAGTGGTCAGTAATTGAATACTGTTCCCAAACCTTCCTTTCGTGAACCCAAAAGTTTGATTTATCCCGAAGGAAATTGGCTTTTTTTTTTTTTTTTTTTTTTTTAAAGTGTGTTTTACATTCTCGCGTAGATGGAAGCATACTACTCTTCAACCCTTTAATGATACTAGAAAATACACAGAGGTACCTCAGTTCATGGAGTTTTTGGAGTCAGGATACACAAAAAAGTATGGATACAGCCTGAGCAGGAAGGAGTTCAGTCAGGCCTTGTGGAAAATATTCTTCAGAGCATGCCTCAAGATCTGCGGGTGTGCAGCTGTGCAGATAGTGATTATCTCCTTTTAAGTGGCATCTTTGTGCTTTGTACTCCACTGTTCCAGTATTCCACCCATCATCTTGGAGGGTAAAGGTAGAGAAAGAATACCTATGGGCGGGTAGCTCATGTGCTGAGTTGCCTTGATCTCATTATATGTTTACACCATGACTTCTGGTCCTGTCTCAGTGCTGGATGTACAAGTCCACCTGGAGCTTTTCATCTAGAACATGTGTTGCCAGTGAGAATGTTATGAAAGTTTTAATTATGTGTGATTTGTAGATTTTGCTTTAAATGCTACCTTTCCAAGATTTGGGCTACTGAAAGTCCTTTTAAAATAAGGAGTTACGTCATTGATTCTTCATAATCACAGATGAGCTGCATTAATAATCCACATTTTATAGATGAGGAAACAGGCTGAGAGAAGGTCAAGGCCATGTACTCAGAAAGCGGTAGATCCTGGATCTCCAACAAGCGTTTTAGGCACTAAGATTCTGATGAAAAACCAATAGGATGTTGGTTCTGCTTAAACTATTGTTGTTAAGTGCCGTGGAGTCAGACTCAACTCAGTGATCCTGTATAGGCTTTCTGAGGAACAGCTGATGGGTTTGAGCTGCTAACCTTGTGATTCGAAGTCCAGTGCTTATCCTACAGTGCCACACCAGGACTCTTAAACTTTCTGAAATTCCTGAGTCATTTAAATATATAATTTTCTCGTCTTAAACCAAGATAATGAGTCCACAGGAAGACAGCAAAGAATACTAGTCTTGAGCTAAGGTCACTAGCAATGAGACCCTCAAGTGTCACCCAGAACAGAGAATGCTTTGGAAACAAAACGGTGCCTCTCCATGAGTTTAATATATCCACATATACTAATAGACACGCGCGGCGGGTTAACACGCTAGACGGCGATGTCAGTTTGAACCTCAACGTCGGCGGTTCAGGCTTACCATCCACTCCTTGGAAACCCTATACAGGGTCGCTATGAGTCGTAACTGACTCGATAGCACTTAACAACAACATTTAATAACAATTCAACATGACAACTCTGTAATATGTTGATCCTTGTTATAGAATCATTTAGATAAAAAATGACTTAATTAAGATTATGTTCTAGTGCAAAACTGTTTTTCTCGGATATGTAGAACAGTTTCTAATCTGTTACTTTAAACTCTATTCAGAGTTTTACAGCTGCCTCTTCATTGTCTAATACTCTCATTCTTTTTATAAAGCAGGGTCTTCAGAGGCAGGCTGGAAAACTGGAGACCTGCACCGTCCTCCACAGCTCAGGCTTCCACTCACTCACCTTGCATGCCTTTCTCGTGGTTTCATGAAAGCAGAAAAGGATCTTATTCCTTCCGGAACCTACCTTCACCTACAAGCATTCTTCAGCCTTCTCCCGAGACTCTAATTTCAGATAAAAAGGGGTCCAAGGTAGAAAACACATGGATTAAAAAAGCAAACAAGAAAAACCCAAACCCTTCCTCCTCTTCAGTCTTTGGAAGGCACTCTCAACTTGTGTGTGTACTGTGGATCTGAGTAAACAATGTGATAACACTACAATAAACAATGCATGGTAGTCGTGTGGGAAACGAGAAAGCCTTATTTACCCACCACCTCTTTAGTACTGTTCCATTTTAGATTGTACGTTACTCTTAGATTTGCCTGTCTTTTCACATATTGCTATTTAATCTCAGTTTGACAGCTAAGCCATGCTGGGAAAGATGCATTTTAATCATTGAACAGTATAATAGATTTGTTTACCAAGCATTCCACTTCAAATTACATTACAAAACTATTTTGCTTTGCTCTTCAAGATTTACTGGAAAACAAATAAATTTGGGACTGAGTATGTATTCAGTACATCTAAGTGCAACTCTTTAAAACAAACCAAAGCTGATATAGCACCCTTATTTATTTCAACTTTTAGTATCAAAATGTCATGTTGAACTACTGTTCTAATTCTATCACCAAAGGTCTTTAATTTTAGTAGAATTAGGAATTGTACGCATGGTTGTTAACTTGTTTTTCAATGCATGATGGTTATTTCCAGCATGACGCTGCAAACCTTATCTAACATTTTATCGAAACACATATGCTGGCTAACTTTCACATGTTGTTTGATCTCCTTTTATCTATGTTTGATGTTCGCTTTTCTTTCTCAAACAGAAACATGTGATTAATGTTGCTTGAGTTGAATTCCTTTCTGAGGACAACAGCTCAGAGAATTTGGATCTAGGTTTTGGGTGGTGTCTCTATGGATGATGAAAAATTGTAATGTTCTATGTTAAAAGGAACCCTGGTGTGGCGCTGTAGGATAAGCACTGGACTGTTAACCATGAGCCTGGCAGTTCAAACCCACTCTTGAACCCCTATACAGGGTCACTATGAGTCAGAATCAACTCAATAGCACTTACAACAACAACATGTTGCGTGCCTTCCTGATTTAGTGTTCTACTAGCCTAGCTCCATATGCTCTGATTTGGACGCCCTTTCTGAAGTTTTAGAAAACCTTGGTGTTTGTTTGATACTGAATTCTTTAGCCTCTGATGTGGTATTTATTCTTGGCAGCCAACTAAACTTAACACAAGGGAACCTACTTGAAAACTAGCAGGCCTGTTCCTAAGGAATTTGAACGTGAAACAAGATGGTGTTGGTGGAGTTCTTGGAGCTCCTGGGGAGCCAGCCATGGATTTGACAATAGACCATTTTGACTTTGAAACATTTTCAACATCATATGAGTACCTGAGACATCTAAATGCTATTGGAGTAATTTTACCATTATCTTCTACTGGAGAGTCTTCAGATTAAAAAAAAAAAAAAAAAGTTTTCCCAAATACAGCTACATAGCCATGGTTAGTTTATTTGGTTTTGATAGTCACTGAAATTTTTTAATGAAGTTTTGGGCACTTTTTGTCTAATGCCCTTCCCTACCCTCCAATCCCAAGTATTTGTTTGAGAGTGGGTATCAGCTCTGTGCTGCAACCTCTCTGATCATTGGCTGAAGCTGTGTGAGAGCTTTATTTTAGTATATACCTACTGGTGTATTGTCAGACTCTGACCTCCTCCAGAACTCATCATCTTGAAGGGTATGTCCAGGAGAGAATCTGCCATTTCTCACAGTATTTATCATGGCCAACCAAAAGCGATCCTTCCTAGGAGGTGCGATAGCTACCTTTCTAACATGGACTGCCATCTGTTCCTAATAACTCAGCCTCTCCACACCATCTTGCGTTTTTACTTACACTGTTACTCATCATGATTAGGGCCAAAGAAGATAGGCTTATTAATATTACTCCTCTGAGCAATTGCAGAGGACAATGAATTCTATACCCTTGAAGAGAGACTGAAGAATCATTTCTCTAAAGCACACCAGTCCATTTATCAGATGTAGAGAGTGCCCAGAATTCCCAATAAGCCACAAAAGAGGCAGTGTTCTCAACCAGAGCCTGGTTGAAGGTCATCACCAAACAAAACGTGGATTTCATGTAAGATTGTTTACAAAGAACTATTTTAGCACTGGGGAACACATCTGTCATAGATTCACTCACTGTGTTCATTTAATACTAGGCTTTATTTTATTTTTTCAGAATTTTACCTTCAATGATGACTTCAGTCCCAGCAGTACCAGTTCTGCAGACCTGAGTGGCTTAGGAGCAGAACCTAAAACCCCAGGGCTATCTCAGTCCTTAGCACTGTCATCCGATGAGGTACTTCCATGGCATGTATCATAGAATTGTCCTCTCAACTCATGCAATTTATCCATGAACTGTCTTTTTTTTTTTTTTTTAAGGGTAGAATTTATATATAAAATCATCAGGGTCATAGTTTTATATTTAATATGAAATTTTGGTCGTTTCTTTTTTCCCTCTGTCTTGTAAAAGAGAGGTAGAAAATTACCTTTGCAATTGACTTAGTTCCCCAAGAGCTAAGTAACAAAAAGAAATATCAGTATTCGTGGAGGGGAGAGGGATACTGTGAACAAAGATTTTTTGCTATAAGTATTTGTTCTTATGTCTTACTTTCTAACATGATTTTTGTTTTGTAAAACTTTCTTTTTTTCTCTTAAACTCTTCTTGAGGCTTGGTGCAATTTTAATTTTATAAAACTTGGCACAGTATATGTGTGTCTTCTGTTTCTATAACACTTTTCTTTTTGATTCCTTTGTTGCTCCCTCACTCAGAGCCTGGATATGATAGATGACGAGGTGAGCTATCAGTGGACTGTGTTTGGTGGTTTGTGTGCTGTTGATTGAACCTGTTTCCTCTCTCTGCTGATAATATAAAAATCCTTCCCTCTGTAGGGAAGGGGCCTCTTGTGTTAAATAGCTTCACTCTCTGCCCTTGTCTATATCTTAGTTTAAAAAGCTTTCTTTCCTCAGTGAGGAGGATCTCCAATTCCAACTCCAGAGTTCTTTGTCTCCCATCACCATTACCTTGATACATTCTATTCTGGTTCTTCATTTCTTTGCCTTCATCTCAGCTTAACCCATGCCCTCTTCTGTGTTCCCTACAGGGTCATCAAGGTGACACCTGTCTTCACCCAAGTCTTGTCATTGCTTTCATCTCCTCTCAGCTTAGTGGTTCTAGCAATAACCTTCCCCTTTTCACTATTAAAACAAATTCTGCTCTGAACAAAGCATGGGATTGGGGAATACAAACACACTGTTGAACTTTACCAATCAGACAGAACATGTAGACTCTCTGAGACTCAGTTTCCTCATCTATTAAAAGTAATTATGGATATGACCTGCTCTGTCTTACTCATAGGTTTGCTTTGCTGCTTAATTGGAATAATAAATGTGTCATTTCCCCTAAGAATGCTTGAGAGGTGAATGCTCTCCTCTTCCAAGTGGAAGATACCACTAAATTTTTTAATGTATTTTTAAATCTCTCTAATGTCTTATCAGAGAACAAATACAGAGTGTTGCATTGCATATAAAAACAATTGATGATATATTTGTTTTCTACATCAGTTTCCAAAGTGTTTTAATGTACAAGCTTGCAACATCAGAGTGTATCTTCACTATTAAGCTTCCTACATTAATAATACTGCTTGATTTGGGGGAATTCTTTTTAACTAAAAACATAAAAGTAATAAGTATGTTTCTCTTTACTTAACACAATAATCATTAGCTTATTAGTTTATGATTTACAAATAAATGTGGCTCTAGTAAGCTAAAGACCTCGTGTTTAGAGCATAATGTAGCATGCTGAGCCGCAGCATTGTGGTCCTTTAACAACCCTGCGTGCCATTCCTATCTCAGATCCTTGATGATGGACAGTCTCCCAAACACAGTCAGTGTCAGAGTCGGGCCGTTCAGGAATGGAGTGTGCAGCAGGTTTCTCACTGGTTAATGAGCCTAAATCTGGAGCAGTATGTATCTGAATTCAGTGCCCAAAACATCACTGGAGAGCAACTCCTGCAGTTGGATGGAAGTAAACTTAAGGTAAAGAATGATACGTCTGTGTTAGGTTACCAGATGTAATCTTTGTTACTCATAGCACCTGAAACATTTTCATTAGATACAAACGAGCATTCTGCTTATCTGAGAGGTAATTCTTATCAACAGTCAGCAGAAAGGATGTTGACTTACTTCCAAATAATAAATGAATTTTGGAAATCTCATTAGAGATTTGAAATCCAACAGTAGACTGCTTATTGGAAAAGTAGGGGTCACTCCATTGCTTCCCACTGGAAATAAAGGGTACTTGTATCAACTCTACTTCCTTCGTGGGTAGTATGAGTTTATGTAGTGGCCAGTGTGGGTTCTTTCATCACATCAGAATTAAGAAGCAAATCCGTGAATCTTCTTTTCTTTATTTATTTCTTCTTCACACCCACTGTTCCCACATACCACCAGAAATCTCCCCAGAACCTCGTTTCCCAAATCCCTGCAGGCCCTGTGTTCTCCTCCCCCCGTCATACTCTCATTTCCACTCATCTAGTCCATAGTCTGTTGGAGTCCTGGTGTGGCGCTGCGGGTTAATGCGCTGGACTGTAAAGCCGGTTTGAACCGCAAGGTTGGTGGTTCGAGCTCACCAGCTGCTCCTTGGGAACCCTGTACAGGGTTGCTATGGGTCGGAACCGACTTGACGGCACTAAACAACAACAAGTCCATCACTGTTAGAGGTTGAAATGGCACTCAACCCTGTGGGGAAAGGGCAAAAAGAGCCAGCTTCCTTCTACCCCCTGCTAGGCTGATGGGCAGATGAGGATCTCTTGACAGTCTTGAAAAGGTTAGAGATCAGTCAGTAGCTGGTGAATATGAAGACCCCACTGACAAGGCTGTCCCTGTCGGGGAGATGGATGTATCTAGCTTTGATTTTTAAGGTCATGAAACATTTAAAGAATATAAGCAACTCCCCTTATTCTGAATCCCAAGCTCATCGAGCAGCCTCCTCCTTACACTCAGACTTCCTTTACAGGTCTGCTACACGGAGTGAATAGTTAGTCATGCTGACGTGAGCATTCTGGCCCCAAAGACATTTTTGATTCTCTCTGTAAAATGAACACATAAGCAGAAAAAAAGTCATTTTCAATTTTTCCTGCCCTTTCTGAAGTTCTCTGTAGCAGCAGGTGCTCACTCCTACTCTTTGAAAACATTGATGAGTATAATGATACTTTTGTCTGTAAGTGTCTGCAGCCCAAATGTTGGAAAAGCAGAATTGTACCCTTTTTGAAAAATCTATCTATCAATTAATTAACAATTTGAAAAGTATGTACTTAATGAGGTTTAGATTGATTATTCAGTGTTAGAGTCCTGGTATGGCGCTGTAGGGTAAACACCGAACTGCTAACCAAAAGGTTGGTGGTGGTTCAAACCCACCAGCCATTCCCTGGTAATCCTTTACAGGGTCAATATGAGTCAGAACCGACTCAGTGGTACTTAATAACAATAGCATGGTCTTAAAAACAAAGTACAACACTTCAATTTATTCTATGGAAAATACAATCAGGTCTTCCTCAGTTCTTACCTTTTCTATCTATGCTTAAATTAGTTTGAGTTTGAACAGAGTGTGATGTCAACCTCATCAAAAGAAGAGAGATCGTTGGTTTTTCAAATTTGGATTATATATGTGTTTCCTTTTAGGCTCTTGGAATGTCCTCCTCCCAAGACCGAGCAGTCGTCAAAAAAAAACTCAAGGAAATGAAGGTGTCTCTAGAGAAGGCTCGGAAAGCTCAAGAGAAAATGGAAAAACAACGAGAAAAGCTGAGGCGGAAGGAACAGGATCAAATGCAAAGGAAGTCCAAAAAGACAGAAAAGACGACATCAGATGCAACAGAAGGTGCTAAGGAGCAGTAACACACCCCCTGGTGGAGAGGTGGGGATGCTCCAAGAAGTAGCCTGACCTCTTCCGTCTCTGTTCTTCTCCTGAGGATGAAACAGAAACTGATGACAGGGAGAACACTATTTTAAGCAGATTGAGGAACCATATGTTGGATAACTGCATTTTCTGCAATAATAGAATACATTCTAATATTAACCTACTGAAATAAACTCAAACCACCTTTGGTTAATTAACAAACCAGGAATCTCATTTGTGAGAGATACAAAGAAGCTGTGTTTCTTTCATCTCTTACTTTGTGTTGGGTGTGTCACTTGGAAAAGCAGCATGGCATTGCCCAACAAGAGCATGATGCATCCTGGTGTTGTTAATAGAGCACTGTGAGTGCTCAATATGTGATTCCGAAACTGGGCATTTGCACATGTCTGTGTGGCAGAAAGCATCCTGCACCATGGGGTCTTCTAGGGCTGTGGAATCTGCTCCAATGTGTGGCCAAGGTTTCCCTCTCCTCTCAGTGTCTGGGCAGTGAAACAACCCCACACTGGAAATGTGGTTGCTCTTTCAAATGATTGCCTACAAGACAAAAGGTGAGCAGACTCTTCTGCTCAATGGGTGGGCTTCAGAAAGAAAGGAGTTGCAGTTATTTGTCAAGCCCAGAAAGAAACAAAGCCTTAAAAATGTGGATGATGTATGTATTACCATGGGGTTCTGTGGGTAAATACTTATCCCCCAGATATAGTCTAACAAAGAAGAAATGAGACACAAATGCAGGCATGGGATATTGGGCTCTGTTGTTTACTTCACTACTGCTTCATGTTCGGTAATTTAGTCATACTGACACACACAATACTGTACCTTTTTTTCACTCCAACAAATTCTGAACAGGAAATTGGTTTTTAAGGAAACACACGTTTTCAGGATCCTCTCCTGGGGAATATTCTGGCTGGTCTTCAGCCTGGCTATGACACAATAGGGAACACATCACATATTTTCTGCTATAGATTTCCCAAGTGAGCTCAGTTAGTATTTTAACAAATGTACTTTTAAGAAAAATAGAAATACCAGTTAGAGAAACTTTAGATTTGAGTACCATTCAGCCAGAGAACCAATTTTTTTTTTTTTTTTTTTTTTTTAAGCAGAGTGTTTCTGTAAAGGAGAACTGTCACTTATATTTTAGCAATGCTCTGCATGGTTTTTCTGAACCATTATTCCAGGTACTTTAGTGAATTCCACTTTACAATTAAAGTTTGTTTAAGGCAGTACGTAGGATATAGGCTGGCAATGGAGAAAATTATGCTTATTTCAAAGCCAGTATTAAAGACTTCAGTATTTCAAGTGCAGGAGCCTGAGGCAGAGGGAGGAGGGAATAAAACTACTGAGGAGCTTTTTGCGTCTGATGCACATGTATTTGGTTCTCTTGGGTTCTAAAAGTGAGGTCATCCGCTGACACTTTTCCAAGAGACAAGTTTCAAAATATGAAGTCGCAGACAAATTTTACTTCCTTTGCTAGATAGGGTTCACTTTTCCCAGCAGTCCTGATAATTTCCACTGGACACTTTGTAATCTGCAGAACTTTGGGGAAGACTTTTGAAGATTTCAAATTCTAGATTATTTGAGAGTGCTCCTGCCCATACAGCTCCATCTCATATTTTCAACATTGTGACTTTTTTGGTTTTTGCTCATCGGAATATCCAAGTACTGGAATTGTCTAAACTAGGAGTTTGTAAACCTGTTCTTCCCCTCAAGATTGGTTTCTTTTTAGTGCCAGAGTCGTGTCTGTTAAGCTTCAGTGGGCACAAATCATCATTCAATCCTCAGAAATGTTGGCATGCAGCAACATTGCCTTGTTCAATGATCAAAACCGCTATGTATGTTTTCCTTCCTCTCTGTATTTGGGGTATGATCATGAAGCTGCCATGCGGGACACTCTGTTGCTATCTGGTGATGTCTGGTGCTTTTCTGTTCATTAATACCATGAGAAACCAAGGAATCACTGTTAATGAACTATGAAATCCGGCACATCTTTCTAATGCTGAAGGGTTAAGTCAAAATCTGATAATACTAAAGCTTGTTTATGGTGAATGTTTGCAATTTTGTTTAACTTTGGAAAAAATGAATTGGATCACACTGGAAGATTCACTGTATTCATTTCTAAGATGGAAACAGAAGTTGAGTGATTATCATAAGTTATGTTTACACATTGGTAATATTTGAAAATAGATGTATATATTGGAAATGTCTATAAATCTGTTTCTGCACATAATTTATGTTCTATTATATTGTTTTCTTAAGTATCTTAATAATTCTTCTGTATTTACCTTTAGTTTTACATTTCCAAGGTTTAAATCAATATCCAACTGACATTATAAATCAAATTTTTATTTCTTGAATCATTTAGCTTTTCATGATGTTGATTTTTAAAGTTAAATGATAGAATTTTAGGTTTTAATGACTTATTTTAACATTATTTCTTAATACTTCTAAAACTGTAAGAGGCGCTTGATTTGATTATCTGATAAAAAGGACAAAATGTAAACTGACTGATCTGCTGTAAGGGTTGAAAACAAAGTGAGGGACTGCAGATCTGCATTTCGCTTTCCTGTTCTTTTATTGACATTAGAGCATGATGCATAATTGAGTTTCCATTGTCTTATACAACTTCTACTTTAATGCTACTGGTTTTTATTGTAATTTAGCACAGAATTCTAGCTTCATAAACCTTAAAGAGTTTTCAGTTTTTATTGAATTATCAGATAATGAATTGAAAAGGGATATCTGGTTACAATGAACGATATTCCCTAAAGGACAGCTCAGTTTGATACTAAAACTAGCCAAAAATGTTTTTGAAGATAGTAATGCATTTGAGTCATGGTGTTGGCAAAGAATATTGAATAGACCATGGACTGACAGAAGAAGCAACAAATTGATCTTGAATGAAGTACAGCCAAATTGCTCCTTAGAAGTAAGGATGGTGAGGCTTCATCTCTTGAACTTTAGACATGTGATCAGGATGGACAACCAGTCCCTAAAGAAGAATCTCATGCTTGGTAAAAGAGAGGGTCAGAAAACAAGAGGAAGAGCCTCAACCAGATGGATTGACACAGTGGCTGCAACAATGGGCTCAAACATAACAACGTCTATGAGAATGACTCACGACCTGGCAGTGTTTCATTCTGTTGTACATAGGGTCTCAATGAGTCAGAACTGAACTCCACAGCACTGAACAACAGTAATGCTTTGCTGTGGAGGAAATGTGTGGTGCATCCAAGCAGACAGGGGGCATTTATATGAGCTGAATGAGTATCTGGGGGCAGGGTTTTCCATTAAAAGACTTTAGTTTTAGGTTACTTTGTTTAAAACCATCTCATGTACAGTAAGTCAATTTATCCAGTCCTTTCTTCATGCCTTATTTGACCTGATTCGGTAGTTTACTACACAGTAATAGGTTAGGGCAGAAACCTAATTCTGCCCCCTCTGACACACTGATGAATTTCGCCTTTAGTTTCTTGATCATAAACTGTTCATGTCTAGCATTCTTGAGCTGAAATAACAGTGGTTCCCCACATTTCTGAATTGGGCCTAAAATCTTAAATTATCCCAGGCCCGTGCTAGGAAAATGGTCCAAGTTTTTTTTAAATCTAGCACCTCATCCTTTATGGGTTTTTCTGAAGACAAACAATTCTCATCTAGATTTTTTGTACAATAAGATTAGCCTGTGATTTTAAAATACAGTTTAAAAGATAAATGAAACATTAAATTTCTGTGGAGACTTCAAGTAATTTTATGTGTTAAAGATTACACAGACCAAATTTCAAGACAGGAAACCCAATTTTCAGTAATTTTTAGATTCTAAAGTGAGCCCAATTCCACGAGAAACATCTGTAGGTATTTCTGGATGTTTTATAGTTCGCCTCATTACACTGAAATTTTGAGGAATGACCAAATTTCTTCTGAATTTGCTAAAGACACCTCCCAACAGAGTAGTAGATAAGGGGCTTTTATTTTGGTGGACACTGGTCACCACAGTTCATGTCAGCTACTTCATGATAAAATTTTAGTACTTTCTAAAATGTACCTTTAATCAAGGATCCATTTGGACATAATTCTAAGGCATTTAAGGATGTGATCCAGAGTAAATGTCCATGTTTTCTATTAGAATAGTTTTCATGATGTTGGAGGGGGGATAGTGTGGGGTACCTTCTCAAAAGGAAGCAGTATTGCAACAAATAGGAAAGCGCTTCGGTGATGCTCTGCTGGACAGCAGACTGGGCGTGTACACAGGTTTTGTTTGCGTCATCTTAAGCATCTAAATTTTCAGAAAACTTTTTGTTGGTCAAAAACACTGGGGAAAAGATAACGCTAAACAAAATATCTTCAGCCCAAAAGAGAAGTTGAAGGAAGGGCAATGAAAAAAAACTACCAAAGCAGTTTTGTCTTTTTTTTCCTGGAAAATGACAGTATTGAGTTTTATTTTGGGGTTAGACAGAAAGTCCGCATGCACCTATGAGTGGGTGTTTGTGGGGCTGTGTTGAGGGCCTAGATGACATCGGAAGGCTCTTATATGTGAGTGTAAGCAGCCAGCACAGCACATAACTTCCTTCCAGATCCTTAGACTAGTGAAGGAAAACAGCTTGATGATTTCCAATTCTTGGCCCTCTCCAACCCCAGAACTGTTAGGGATTCAAGAACGAATAAGAGAACAACAAACAATTTCTCAACAATGTGCATGCCACTTGTGTAGGTGTATCGAACTCCATGTGTATGAAACTTAGACAGCAATCACATGGCATCAACAAAACTTCTGTATATGGAACTTGGTAATGCCAGTTATGACCCAGAGTTGTAATCATACATAGCCTTATTGCCACTTTTGTGTTGTGTATACATTGAATGGCTCATAAGATTTTAACAGATTTTTTTAAATGTAAGTATTTCTACTAAATGCACTTAACCTTCTATATGTTTATATATTTTGGTAAATTTGATTTATTAGATACTTGGTATTTTAAAAAGATACAATGTCCTCAAATGTTTGATTAATGCATTGACTGCACATTTCTGAGTTGGATTTCAGAAGTGTATGCACTTTTGGACATTTTTAACTACAAGACTGGGGATTTCTTGACTCAGAGTTGCACTGTGTGTTCTTGTGCGTTTGCTCACACTTCTCAAATGATAGATATTATTTGTTAGCTGTGATGCCTAACTAACTACTGACTATCTGATGGCAGCATTGCCATTACACAACCACTTATTTTGTATCTCAAGTTATGACAGAGTCAACGCAACGCCAAAAATAATACAGGGGGTGTGAGCAGGAGTATGTTGTTGGAAGGTGGACACTTCAGTTTCTTTTGATATTTTCCTCTTTTACCCTGGTTTTCTGTTCAGGACTTATTCATTCATGAAAGAACAATTGGGCAAAAATAATTAACTTAAAAGAAGGAATTAAGAGGCACCCCAAATTGCTGACACCTCCCAACAGCATCAAACTTAGTGTTAGTGAAATCCCTTAAAGATACATATATATTTTCCCTCAATATTGTTTAATGTCAAAACTACTGGTTTTATATTTTTCAGTGGTTGCAACTGAACCACACATACACCTGCAACATATTATTAATAAACTGGGCAGTTGAAAGAAAAGAAAAATGAATGAATTTTTTTCCACTGTAAGAAGCTGATTTGTCTTCATCTTTCTTTACATGCCAATAAAGGAAAAGAGTTGTTTGAAAATAATTTTAAGTCCAGTAATACGGATAGCATGTTAATCTGAACCTTTTAAGTTTATACATTTTGATGTCTGAACATTTGCATGGTAGAGACAATAGTGCCACGTCTGGATTGTTCTCTTGTGCTTGGTTAATATGTACTTCTCTAAGTCGTTCTGTTTCAATTGACATTTCTTCCTCTATGGTTTTCAGAGACACTCACAGAAAAATATAACAGTGGTCCTTTGTTTTCTGACCAATTTAAAAATACCTGTGATTAAATTTAATTTGCTAGTGTACATAAATTTCTTGCCAATGAGTATTATTGTTGTTAGACAACGAATGCAATAAAAAGAGAAATACTGGAATCTGTCAAAGGAATTTTTTTTTCTCTTCCATTTTCACCTTCAACTAAAACAAGCCTTGACTGGGTAAACCTGCATTAACTGTCAAAATAGATCTATCAATCAAGAGCAAATTGCACATTTTCCATGGAAATGAAACTAAAAATAAGTTTTAACTCTGGTAAAGTGTAAATTGGCAGCTAGAATTACATTTGAAAGCACAATTATGGGACTGGGCATAGAGGTAAAAGAGCAAAGCTTCCACTAGGAACTCCCTCACCCATCTTTCTGCTCCCCATCACTGCTTAACCATCAAAGTTTTCAATGTCTGTCAGCCAGAAAAGTTCTGTGACAAATCCATTAAGCAGTCAGCCTCACACAGTATGGGACCAGCTAGAAAAGAGTCAGACCCTTATGAGAGTACAGGGTTATTTTAAACCATTTTATTTCTTAAACCTTAAAAATGTAGAAGATTTGGATGTAACAAATGAGGGGTGTGGAACTTCCCTCTCTTTCTTTTGCTCTCTCTCTCTCTCTCTCTCTCTCACACACACACACACAGTTGTCTGTGATTAATCCTGGTGTGGCACTGTGTATTAATGTGCTGGACTGCAAAGTCAGTTTGAACCCAAGGTCGGCAGTTCAAGCTCATCAGGTGCGCTTTGAGAACCCTATATAGGGTCGCTATGGGTCAGAACCGACTCAACGGCACTTAACCACCACCACCACAACAACATTTGGTGATGTCAAAGCTTAGACCTGGGTGTCACAGAATGAATAAAGTGAGCGGTTTTCCTTTTCCTTGGAGTATGTTATGATATCGCTAAGCAAGGGAAATGTATGTCTCTTTCCAAATGATCTTAAGTGTTGAATTGGATAGCTTTCTTATTTTTGGCAGAACTGATTTATTTGATCAAGAATGAAAGAGAACCAGAGTATGGTCATTTTATTGATAGGATTTTTCCCTCAGCACCTCAGTCACTGCTGGTCTCAATATTTCAGAATAATTCAGTTCCCTAGCTTGTGAACAACCACATCAAAAATTTAGTACTCACAGAGCACAAGATCTTACACGCCACAGAAACAGTACCAGAACAGTCCTTCTAATCTTGATGTGAAGAAGGTGTTCTTTGATTCTGACAAAATGTTCTGTTTACTACTTTCAGTAAGTGGCGGTTTTCAATTTATCAGAAAAAACGTTTTTCTCCAAATGCCAAAGCTTCACCATGGTAAGTGCCTTAGAAAAACTTTGTTTCTAAAGTAACCGCCTTAACATTCCAAAGATACCATCCAGCATGGGGTACATACATCTGAAACAACAACAACAAAAAGGGAAATGACGATAACCAGTAACCAGTTGCTGTCCAGCTGATTCCAATTTATGGCGGGCCCATGTATATCAGAGCAGAACTATGCTCCATAGGGTTTCAATAACTGATTTTTCTGAATTATATTGGCAGGCCTTTTTCCTAAGGCATCTCTGTATGAATTTGAACTGCTGAACTTTTGGTTACCAGCATAGCATGTTAACTATTTGTACCATCACCCAGGTACTTCTATATATACCATCTTTTATAAGAAAAGGATAAAGTGACAAAGTTATGTTTTCTAAGTCATGTCATCAAAAAGATTGCCAAGCGTTGATCTTTTCTGTTTGTGTGTTTGCCTTTCTATTTTTCTCCTCTCAACGTCCAGAACAAGTTAAGATGGAGGTGGTGGGTACCATCTCAATAGTCTTTTCTATGGCATACTTGGCTTTACCTAAATTAATTATGGGGTCCATTCTGGATCCAATCATTGGCATGAACAGACTTACTGAACTTGACCCAAGAAACCAATGTATACACTTTTGGGAGTAATTCAGGGATTACTACCCTAATTTCTCTGCTGAGCTAACAGTCACTTATAATTTTTTTATGTATGAGGACACTCCTAGACGTTTAAGATTTTTATACATTCCATAGCTAGAACTAGAAAAGCAAGAGTAAAAGATTGGCCGTGGCAATTAACTGAGGAAGTTGTATGTAGACAGAGAAAATTGAAATCAGCCTAACTGTGTCAGTATGTCTAATGCTATAACTAAAGAGGTACTCCTGAAGTTCAGATACAATGTAATTTTATCTCATTTGGCTTTCTGACATGTGAACGAGTGTCCCTGATTGGTACTGGAATTCGGATATCACATGAGATCATTTGATTCTCTATTTCCTGAGAAAGACACATGTATTAAAGTATTTTTATGTCATAAGCAACTTAAGACATGATTTTTGATATAATTTCAACCATTTTATTGAAAATGATTTTTACTGGTAAGTGAAGTTTTCAAGAATTCTAAGACTGACTTGATATCGTACTCTCAGAAAAGGCTTACACATTGTGTCTGCTCCTGCTAGAAAAGCATTTTGTTTCCTCATGAAGTCCAAATTTAGAGTCGATGTTCATTGTTCAGATGAGATCACTACAGCTGTTTAAAATGTGGCAACGAGTTGAAAATGATGGGCTCATGGTTTCCATGGCACAGACGCAAATAGACCCGTCAGAGCTCACAGTAGAGAGCTTTGTGGAATACAGTGCCAACCAGAAGTTTTCCATTGTACACAGAAGCAACCGTACTTCCTTGCAACACTGTGCCATTTTCCGCATAAACCAGTGTTACTTTGGGTTCATCTGTTAAGATATTCTGAATTTTGATCACCTATCAAAGAAATGGTGTTAGATTAATAAAAGTAAATAAAAGTCACTTAAAACAAAACTTTAAACATGGCGTTATTTCTCCTTAAGACACCTTTATTGTTTCTTGGTTTTTCTTTCTGGTGGAGACCCATGCCATCCTCACAACTGTGATATTTGAGTCCATTGTTTTTGCCACTGTATCAATCTATTTCCTTGAGGTTTTATTTTTTGCTTTTCCACTATTTTACCTAGCATGATGTCCTTCTCAGGAACTGATGACATGTCCGAAGTATCAGAGACAAAGTCTCACAATCCTGGATTCTAAGGAGCATTATGGCTGTACTTCTTCCAACACAGATTTGTTTGTTCTTCTGGCACTTTCAATATTATTCTACAATGCCATAATTCAAAAGCATCTATTATTCTACTGTCCTCTTTATTCATTGCCTAACTTTCATATGCATATGAAGCTACTAAAAATACCGTGGCTGCAGTCAGTGGCACCTTAGCCTTCAAGCTGATATTTTTTTCTCTTTTACATTTTTAAGAGGTCTTTTGAAATTGTTACATTTTTAGAAAAGCACAAACTACCTAAACTAACAGAGAGTAAAGTCAACTTGAGCAGATGTACAACAAGAAATAGATCAGATCATTAAAAACTCTCAACACACACTAAAAGTCCAGGTCCAGATGGCTTTACTGGTGAATTTTATCAAACATTCAGATAAGAGTTGATACCAATTTTACCAAAAATATTGGGAAAGAATAGAAAACTCTCCAATATATTTTATGAAGTAAACATAACCCTCATACCAGACAAGAATATAACTAAAAAAGAAAATTATAGACCAATATCCCTCATGAACATAGATGTAAAAATTGTCAATAAAATCATAGTCAATAGACTTCAACAACATATATATAAAAAAAATACATCATGACCAAGTAGGATTCACTCTAGGGCTGCAAAGATAGTTCATTATTAGAAAAACAATAAAAATAATCCACCATATAAATAAAAAAGGAAAATAACCACATAACCATATTGATTGATGCAGACAAGGCATCTGACAAAATCCAACAACCATTCTTGATAAGAACACTCAACAAAGTAGGAATTGTAGGGAAATCCCTCAATATAACTAAGAGCATATATACAAAACCAACAGCCAACATCACTCTCAATGGAGAGAAACTGAAAGCCCTCCCTTGTAAACAAGAACCAGATAAGGGTACCCTTTATAACCACTCCTATTCAATACTGAAAGTCAGCCAGAGCTCTAAGGCAAGAAAGGGAAATTAAAGGCATCCAAACTTGCAAAGCAGAAGTAAAACTATTTGCAGATGATATTATCCTATACATAGAAAATTCCAAAGATTAAACAAGAAAATTATTGGAACTCATTGGAAGATTCAGCAGAGTGGCAGAGTATAAGATCAATATTAAAAAACCAGTTGGATTCCTTTGTACTAATAAATACAGCTCCGCAAAGGAAATTAGGAAAGCAATACCATTTGCAGTAGCAGCTCAAAGGATGAAATACCTAGGAATTAATCTAACCAGGGAAACAAAAGACCTGTCCAAAGACAAGTGCTACAAGAAACCAGAAGAGATTTACATAAATGTAAGAATATACCATGCTCATGGATAAGAAGACTTAACATTGTGAAACTGTCAATACTACTCAAAGTACTCTATAGATCCACTGCAATCCCAATGCAGATCCCAACAACATTCTTTAAAGAGATGGGGAAAATGTTCTGTAACTTTATTTGGAAGGAAAGATACCTTGGATCAGTAAATCACTGCTTATCAGATGGATCTTGGGTGAAAGCAGAGAATACCAAAATGGTGTTTACTTGTACTTTGTGGACTATTCAAAGTCTTTTGCCTGCATGGATCATGACAAAGTAAGAATAATATTATGAAAAATGGGTATTCCAAAAAACGTATTTGTGCTCATGAGAATCCTTTATATAGGCCATGAGGTATTTGTTAAAATACAACAAGGACATATGAATGATTCAAAATTAGGAAAGGTGTGTGCCAGTATAGTATCCTTTGACCATACTTACTCAATCTGTATGCTGAGTAAATAATCTTAGAAGATGGATTATATGAAGAAGAAGGTGGCATATGAGAGGAAGACTGATTAGCAATTTGCAATACGCAGATGATACAACCTTGCTTGATGGAAGCCAGGAGGACATGAAATACAGCTGAAGATCAAAGGCCTTCAGTATGGATTGTACAAATATCTTCACAGCTAAAACCAAGAAATAACATCATGGTAAATGAAAGATTGAAGTTGTCAAAGACTTCATTTTGCTTGGATCCATAATCAATGCTCTTGGAAAGAACAGCCAAGAAATCAAATGATGTATTGCATTAGACAAATCTGCTGCACAAGAACTCTTTATAGTGTTCAAAAGCAAAGGTATGAGTTTGAGGACTAAGGTACGCCTGACACAAGGCATGGGGAGCTCTGGTAGTGTAGTGGTTACAAATCAGGCTGCTAACCTCAGGGTCAGCAGTTCGAAGCTACCAACTGTTCCGGGGGAGAAAGATGAGGCTTTCTGCTCCCGTAAAGATTTACAACCTTGGAAACCCTGTACAGGGTCGCTTTGAGTCGGAACCAACTCCATGGCACATAACAACAACTACGTGCATGTGAAAGTGCACAATGAATAAGGAAGACTGTGGAAGAATTGATGCATTTGAGTCAAGGTGTTGGAGACGAACATTGAAAGTATCATGGATTGCCAGAAGAACAAATGTGTTTTGAAAGAAGCACAGCCAGAATGCTCAGTGGGAGTTAGGATTGTGATCTGTCATATTTTGGATGTTATAAGGACACACCAGTCCCTGGAAAAGAATACTATACTTGGTAACGTGTGTTGTTTTCATTGTTAAGTTCTATACATAGTGACCTTGTATAGGGTTTCTGAAGAGCAGCTGGTCGGTTTGAACTGCCGACCTTGCAGTTTAAATGACCTTGTGGTCCACTGCATTATCCTCTAGCACCACAGGAGTGTAAGATCAGTGAAAAAGAAGATCCCTAACCATACTGATTTGACACAAAGGCAGCGGCAATGGACTTAAAGGGAACAATTGTGAGGACGGTGCAGAATGAGCATTGTTTCATTCTGTTGTGCATAGGATTTCTATGAGCAGGAACCTAATCAAGGGCACCTACCAACAACAACAACAAAGTTAAAATGCCTTTAGGCAAATCATAGTTTGTTCTATACTTGCTATATATTTAAGACATCTAATGCCTCACTTGTAAGGTGACAGATTTTGATCAAATCTTTAATGCCTTTGGTGAGTGCATAGGCCAACAGGGGCTATGTGGGGAATGTAAATGAGTGACAACCATCTGACTTATAAGACATTAAGGGGCAATGATAAGTTGGGGAAAGAACAGCTCTACTCAATCTCAGCCGATTGTTATGCTGCGATTGAGTAGAGCTCAAATTCCTACCTTACTTAAAAAAGAAGAATTCAGGCTAATTGTCTTCTTTTTTAGGTAAGCTAGGAATTTGGACTCTTACATTTATTTCCTGGTTTTTAAATGCTGGCGATCAAAATTAAAGACGGGGTAGGTGAAGAAGTATGGCTTTAAAAAAGACTCTTACCTGTACCCCTTTATTCCCTTAAACTTAAAGTCCAGTTCTAAATGCGAAGCTTTTATAAGTTTGATATCCTTCACTTAAGGAGAAATGTGATTGCATCATTAACCATTGTGTAGTATTATTGTTAAGGAGCTCTGGTAGCGTAGTGGTTACAAATCAGGCTGCGAACCTTAAGGTCAGCGGTTAGAAACTACCAGCGGCTCCGCGGGAGAAAGATGAGGCTTTCTACTCCCGTAAAGATTTACAGGGTCGCTATGGGTCGGAAATGACTTGATGGCACTTAACAACAACAAGTATTATTGTTAGGCTGATCATAAGATATGGAAAATGTTTTACTATTCTAATCTATCCGATGTTAATACAAAGAGACAGGAGAACTGCATCAGGTTTACATCATCCACTTACCATTTGTTTCTCCTCTGTAGAATGAGATGAATAGAATTGAGTCATCTATAACTTCCCTTTTTAAGCTCCAAGTTTCTATTTTTTTTTCAGTATTTTCTTATTCTGTACTATAAAAATGTAGTGACTTCAAGAAAGGATATCAATGCCATGAAAACACCATGTATTGTAGACTAGGAAAGCTAGTGCTTAGGAATTAAAGGGTCAGTGCTGTTGTTAAGTGCTGTTGAGTCAGTTCTGACTCATAGCAACCCTGCATAGATAGGGTTTCTAAGGAATGGCCGATGAGCTTGAACCACCGACCTTGCAGTTCAAACTGACCTTGTAGTCAAGCGCATTAACCTGCAGCACCACACCAGGATTTAAAACCACCTCTTTAAAACAGCTGGTACCAAACTCTTAGGAAATTGCTGTAGCATTGACTTATAGTAGCTACTTACTGGAAAATTGTGATGGTGAACCTTGCCCTAAGGAAGACTCTTCTAATAAAGCAAAGTCACTTTACATGGGGCAGTGCATTAGATAATGAATTGTTAGTACTTTTTGCTCCTCCTTACCAGATCCATCATTAGAAAGAATTTGTCCAGTGCAGCAAACCAAGCCTATGCTGTAGCAAATGACCCAAGTTCACTAAGTGAAGTTAACAAGCAAGATCAAATTAGAATCTAACATTCTGTTCAGTTCTAAACAGTGAACACTACACAGCATAACTAGTTTCAGTTCTATGTTAATGTTAACAAAGGCACAAAAGATTGCCATTAAAAATAATTGCAATACTAAAGTAAACTTAGAGATAAAGTATATGAAGGGTCATAATGTAATGTGGAGATATACATGTGTTTTGCTTAATCCATAGACATAAGCTTTATTTTATTTTTATATTTGGGGGTGGAGTGAGGCTGACTCTTAAAATCAGCTTTAAAAATACGGATAGGTAGATAAGTGTGTCAAAAATGAACTCATGTATTTGATGAAAAAACAATTATCATTAATACTGAAAATTCAAAATAGAAAGCACCAGAGAAGTCATAGTAAGCATTCAAATACCCATGGCAAGTGAGTTTTAAATTCTATTTGTATAGCCAAAATAGTCTACTGAGTAAAGACCATGGATGTAAATAAGGTCTTTGGGTATAACTAACAGACACGTAGCTATAACTATGTGGAAGAAAAAAGGTCTTTTAAGCCAAACTAATTCCAGCAAGTGATTTGTCTTCCAGTTCTGCATGAAAGGCCTAGAGCGCCTGGCCAGATGTGTTTTAGGACTAGTCATTTGCATGAATTTGAGAGGTGGTACGGACACACAGGAAGGGGAAGCTGAGTAGGAAGGCAGGTAACGAATGATTAGACAATAGCAATGTGGCATCATTATATTTTTTAAATTGTGTATTTCCAAGTTGAAGAAACTTGCTGTTCAAATAAAAGTATGGAACTTTATCCAGTGCTGGATATCTAAGCCCAGTCCTCCCGGCTACTCTTCACTCTGATTTGGGTGGAGAATTCCTTTGAGACACAACCTGTCCCTTTGACTTCCAGTCAGGTTGGCCAATGAGGAGAAGCTGAACAGGATGGGAGGAGTGCTTTCTCCCTGTGATGTCACTGGGAGAAACCAAAGCAATCCTCTTTACATACATCTCTCTTCTTGTTCTGTCTTCGGATAGTCATTCCCCATCCCCATTGCATTGACCAGTTGCCATCAAGTTGATTCCTACTTCTGGTAACTCCTATGTCTCAGAGTGGACCTGTACACCATAAGGTTTTCACTGATTGTGACCTTTTGGAAGAAGAGTGTCAAGCCTTCTTTCCAAGGAGCCTGTAGGTGAATATGAACCTCAAACCTATTGGTTAGTAGACAAGTACTTAACCATTTGTACCACCCAGGGACTCCTCCCATTGCAGTATCCCTATTGATTTCCCTAAACTCTGCCCACACCATGGTATATAGTCCCTTTACTAAACTCCTCTCAAATTATTCATTGTATCATCTGTTTCTTGTCTGACTGTGTCAAATCCCTCTTTATTTCTGAGCATTTGGGTCATCTATCTATTTCTCCTCTTTTATTTGCACAAATAAGTGAGAGTTATGCTTTTCAAATGAAAACAGTAGCTTGGAAAAGGGTCATGGATCTGATTTATGTTTCAAACTAACCTCAGATGCAGGAGGATTCTCTGGGTCATGAAAGAAGATTCTCATGCCATTGGGATGACATCCAACCCAAACGTCCCCTGTCACCGGGTCCACAGATATGTTATCCACCAGGGTGTTAAAGGTCAGCGACTTCCAAGATTAAAAGCAAGGAGGGAACAAAAAGCAGGAGGTGAAGAGAAACTGAGAGGTGGTGAAGTAATACATCAGGGAGAACTATACTGTTATTCTTGGCTACCACACAGCAGGTTTCAAAGATACCACATTCTGCCCCATTGCAATCAAGTATAGTGAATTCCTTTGCCCTTCCACCCATACTGTTGTTTTGTCAGTACCCAGGAGAGATGTATTGGGGAAGTTATGTAAAGCTATAAGAGGCTATTAAAAGTTAGAGCAAATCATCCTAACATTATTCATGAACCAAAAACTAAGGTGGGAGGAGTTTTAAGTATAGTATAAAACAGTTCCTTCTGAAATGGCTTATGCAAAGGATATTTTAAAAATTATTCAGGAAATATAGATTCATTTCCAATGAGAACATCAATGAAATGTAGGCTCTTCTTTAATGGCTAGTCATAGGTTGAGCAGCCAGAGGAGAAATGGTCACCCAGGGTCTAATTTTTGCCTTGGAGTGGAAGAAAGTTTGTTCTTTAGTTTCTCAATGTTATTCAACTTCCTGTTCTTCCACTGTTTATTTTCTGAATATAAGTTGCAACTGTGTTATGACTGCACAGATTGCTGTCGAGGCTTTGCACCAGGATCATAAATAATATCAACGATTCTTAATTCCACTATTCATCATCTTGGCTGCCTTCTAGCAGCGAGAAATGTCCTCTATTTGTTTACTTCTAACTCTCAGTTGGAAAAACAATATCTACCCTGTACCTCAAACAGAGCCCAACATATCTCAGTGCCTAGAGACCCTGTAATAACTGACTGCAATTCATTGTAAAGCCCAGAGCATATGTAGGTAGCTGCAGTGAACCACCACTGCCCTGTGCTGCCCAGTCAAAATCGGAGCTGTCCCCACATGTCTATCCACCCAAGACTGGCAGGCTTCAAGTATCTCAGAGTCTCTTTCACACCTGAATGAAGAGTCATTATCCTTTTCACCCTGGAAATGGAAAAAGTTGGTCAAAGGGGTGAGGGGAGGCTATGTAGGCATTCCCTGGTCCAAATCACCTCGGATCCCTTTTTCCTATCATCCATCACAGTATCAGATACATCACTCTGCTATATTAATGTCTTTTAAGAAATGAAGAAAACATTTAACATCTGTCTTAGGGTTATGCCAAAAATTTTTGGAAGGGGTAATAACCCTTATGGGTGAATTCCATGGCAGATGAAAACTTGTTGAGATGAGAATGGTGGTGTGAATGGGAGAAGGACACAGACATCTGAGAACCCCATTCATTCAACACACAAGTTTTGAGTTCCTACCCTGTGCTAGGAAGCCCGGGGTGGTGCAAACACTTAAACACTCTACTACTAGCTGAAAGCTTGGTGGCTTGAACCCACCCAGAGGCACCTCAGAATACAGGCCTGGTGATCTGGTTTGGAAAAGTCAGAGCCTTTTTGAAAATCCCATCGAGTAGTCCTACACTGCACACATCGGGGTGCCATGTGTCAGAATCAACTCAACAAAAACTAATAACACAAACCTTGTCATATGCAAGGAATTCAGTACTAGGGAGTACAAAGTACATGGCAAACACAGCTCCTACTATACAAGAGCTGACTGTCACCAGGAAGCCCACTCGGGATCCAGCCTTGAAAAACTACTGTCTTGCAAACCAGTGATTCATAGCAATGCCAATGCACCATAGTGCACACACTCATCACAGCACACTTGCATAGAACCAAGGAAACACTCTACATTCTTCAGTCAAGGAAGCTTCTAACACATTTTTCTCCTTTGAAAAAAACTTCCTTAAGTTTCATGGACTAACTCAGTCAACTGGCATAAGATGGTTCATAAAAATAATGCTCTACATTTTAGTTTAGTGAGTAGTACCTGGGGGTCTTAAAAGTTTATGAGTGACCAGCTAAGATATAACAATTGATTTCTACTTTTCTAGAACAAAATAGAGTGCAGGAAACCAAAGAAACAAAGAAGAAACTAATCCATAGGACTAAAAGTCCACATGAACCACAGCCTCATCTAGCCAGAGTCCAGAAGAATTAGCTCTGGTAGCGTAGTGGTTACGAATTGGGCTGCGAACCTTAAGGTCAGCGGTTCGGAACTACCAGCCATTCCGCGGCAGAAAGATGAGGCTTTCTACTCCCGTAAAGATTTACACCCTCGGGAACCCCGTACAGGGTCGCTATGGGTCGGAACCAACTCGATGGCTCTTAACAACAACAAAGCAATAGAAAGTCCCAGATAAAAGCAAGAAAAATGTAAACCAAAATTCATATTATTAAAAAGAAAAGACCAGACTAACTGGACTGAACCTATAGAAACTAGAAGAATCCTTGAGAATATTACTCTAAAATGCCCTGTAACTTGGAAGTAAAGACACTCCCATTGGTCACTTTTCATCCAAATAATTATTGGATTATAAAATAAATACCTGAATACTATGCCCTCTTAAATAATGACATTATACCAAATATTTACTCTCAAACCAAGATGAGAAATTAAGGAAGGGCAAGATAGCTAGAATAAAGGAGAGAGAACAGAAAGAATAAAAATAACCAGAATATTAACACAAGAAAAATGTAACCAATGTTATAGAGCAAGCTGTGTAGACGTTGTTAAGTGGGAACTTTATTTGCTATATAAACTTTCACCTAAAACACAATAAAATATATTTTTCAGTAACTGTCTACTCTATTAACAAATACCTTTGGTGTGGTACTGTAGGATTAGCATTGGATTGACAGTCCAAACCCACCAGCTGCTCCTTGGAAAGGTTATCCAGGGTTGGTATGAGTCATAATCAACTCTACGGCACTTAACAACAACAGAGCTCATTGAAGTGGGACTAATTCATTGACTTGGTCTTGAAATCTTAATTGTCTTGTATTCATTTCAAACTCAATTTTATTGAGAAATTGTGTATGATGATAGACTGCAACTAATGAAGTCTCTCCAGTAACAGAATGACACACTCACTGTGTGATTTTAAAGTCCTGACTGGCACAAAATAATCTTACCAGCCAATCCTGGGACCTGGGATTTGGGCTGTTTGAGTCTCCTCGTTGTTACCTTCTAGCATAGTTTCTATAAAGTCCACATAAGAAGCAGAATATAACCCCCTGCACATTTCATCGCAGATTCTAAGATTACTGTTGTTATCACCATTGAGTTGGTTCCAACTCATAGCGATCCTGTAGAGGATTTCTGAGGAGCAGCTGATGACCTTGAACTACCGACCTTGTGATTCAAACTGACCTTGCAGTCCAATTCATTAACCCACAGTGCCAAACCAGGATTAGCTTCAGCTAACCATGGCCCTCCCAGGTAATTTTATGAACTGATGCTGATTAATCTGATCACTCAGCCTTACAGTTGAGGAGGAGTCTCCACAAGATTGTTACCACAGACAACTGGCAAGATCTTTCCCAGAGTGGGTACAAGACCTGCAGTAAGCCTGGCTTTCCCTCTCACCTCGTTGTTGGATATACTGGTGTAGGTTCCCTTATAAATTTTCATTCAATTTGCAGACGTACTTACTGGTATAACTATAATTTATTTTTATTCCCTCCAGTAAGAGTATTTGAAATTTCATTTTATTGAGTCCTAGAGTGGTGCTGTAGAATAAGCACGGGACTGCTAACTGAAAGGTCAGCAGTTCAAAACCACCAGCTGCTCCTAGGAAACCCTATGCAGGGTTTGCTATAAATTGGAACGGACTCAACAGCACTTAACAACAATACCAAACTAGCTTTGTCAGTGATTTCTAATGTCAAATGTGATGTCACTTAAGATGTTCCTTCTTGGTAATTGTCTTAGACTAAGACCCCTCAAGGCAGTACCTTAAATGTACAAAGGTCACTGGAATAGTGCTTTGACTGCGGATGTTTACAGCAGGAGAGCAAGTCTGTGTGGTTGTTTTTTGCCGAGAGTGGGCTGACTTTAGAAAGTAGCACTCCCCTGGTGGTGATTCAAACGCACCAGCCTTTCCACCAGGAGAAAGATGAAGCTGTTTGTTCCCATAAAGATTTATAGCTCAGAAAACTTATAAAGGGTTGCAGTGAGTCAGAATTGCTTTAATGGCAGTGGCTTTTTTGGTGGTGGCACAGTGGTAAAGTGCTTGGTTGCCAAGAGGTTGGTGGTTGGAATCCACCAGCCACTCATGGGAGAAAGAGGTGGCAGTCTGTTCAAGTAAAAAATACTTGGAAACATTAGGGGGTGGTTCTATTCTGTCTTATAGTTGTTGTTGTTGTTATGTGCTGTGGAGTCGTTTCCGACTCATGGCGACCCTGTATAGGGTTTCTGAGCCTGCAAATCTTTACAGGAGCAGAAAGCCTCATCTTTTTCCCATGGAACAGCTGATAGTTTCGAACTGTTGACCTTGTAGTTCGCAGCCCAATTTGTAACCACTACGCTACCAGAGCTCCTTATTCTGTCTTATAGAGACACTGTAAATTCTAGTCAACTCAATGGCAGTGCTGTTTTGGTGCTTTTACCCCCCTTATACTTGCTTTTGTGTTTTTGCCCCCTTTTGGAGTCCTTGTGTGGCTCTGTGGGTTAATAGTTGGACTGCAAAATTGTTTGAACTGCAAGGACGGCGGTTCAAGCTCATGAACTGCTTCTCAGAAACCCTACACAGGGTTGTCACAAGTCAGAACTGGCTCAATGGTACTTAACAACAACAATCCAAACCTTAGAACAGAGTAGACTTGGTAGGGGTAGAAGGTGAACCCTTAGTGCCTGTCCAGCCTCTCTATTAATTCATTTAACACATACAAGGGGCTTCAAAAACCTTGTAGAAAGTCCCATTATCTTTTAATTCCATTTTTCCATGAACTTTATGAATCCCCCTTATCTTTGCTTAATGCCTACTAGGTGTTGCAAACTCTTCCAGGGAAAAAACAGGAAAGAAAAGAAAACTCTATCCTC